CTAAAACACACACACACACACACACACACACACACACACACACACACACACACACACACACACACACACACACACACACACAGTGAAATAATGCTTAAAAACAATAACATAAAGATGACTGAGTGTGTGATTTACCCCTGTGACGGTGTTTTTCCTCTCATGAGTACACTTGGCTTCATATTCTGGCCGAGGCGGCTCGTCCTGCTCCAGAAACTCCACCGTGTCCCACATGTACTCCAGCTCCGCCTGGTAGCGCTTCCAAAACTCCAGGAACAGCGTCACTGCAGAGAGGAAATGAACAGGAAATAATACACACAGGGAAATTAATGGAAAGAAGGAAATGACTACGTCCACAAAGCATTGTCTGTGTCTTCCTGAGTCTGCTTTGCCTTTCATTGCTCCCAAAATAAACCTTTTGAATGGCCATGAAAACAGCTTCTCTCTAAGTAAGGGATATTGTACACAACTCACCCCAGATTGACATGAAAACTGCAAACACCAAGGTCCCAAAGTTATCAAATATGCAGAGTCTCTAGAAGACAACGGGAAAAAAGAGAAACAAGGGCATCAGAAGTGTCGATCCTGCTTACATGCAAAAACTACCAACTGTCCTGGGTATAATAAAAGCCCAAACAATTACCAATGCAAAGTCTGCAACTGTAACAACACTTCCTCTAACACAACATTCATCCTTAATGGCTATTTTCTAATGTATTTAGGCTAAAGATGGCCTCGAAATGTCAAGATCTTTCTTCAAAGTATGACTTTTATGTTCAAAAATACCCTCTGTATCTCCCGTATCTCACTCAAAGCGCTTTACATACGCAGTCGCCGGTATACATTTATAGATTATTAAACCCATATTATCAGATCTATTTTACACGCATATTACGCTGTTATTACACAAATATACCAACAACTAAATTACACACATATAACACGGTTAGTGCATCCATATTACAATCAAATCACATGCATATAACACCATTAGTACACCCATATAACAAGCGTATCAAACCAATATTGCACCATTATTACAGTTATATTACACCCATGCAGGGGCGGACTGGCCATCGGGACGTTCGGGACGAATCCCGATGGGCCGGTACTGAAGTGGGCCGGTCGGACGATGTGGGCCGGCCGGTAACCGGAAGGGCTCGACATTAAATGGCCCGCTGGCCCGGAAGCACTATTTAGACACCCCGGGCCAGCATAACGTACTTTGCCCACTCGGGCCACTAAAAATATTGCTTTAAAAAAAATTGTCCTGTGGTATTGTTATTTTGACTAGCAATTTAGTTAAATTGTTTCGTTTATCAACGCTACAACAAAGCGTTTTGTGAGTCGGTTGTCGTTGTAGGGTGAAAAGCAAACAGCTGTTTGCTGCGGAGCGCAGCGCGAGCAGGCTCCCGTGAGCGCGCTCCTTCACTACAGACTATTGCGCCACCTAACCATTCGCCAAAATGTTTTTAATACCAGCGGTAACCGGCCAAGCGCCGGGCAAAAAACAATCATCAAATAAAAGAAAGTAACCGGAGGAGTTAAAGGAGAGTGACAGGGAGCATGAGAAGAAGAGCGAGAGAAAGTTTCGGCCAGCTTGATCGATGGAGTTGGCTTCTAGTGGTGCAGTGACGCGTCCTAAAACCCTTTAATAATCTATCGATTAGATTTATGATTCGAAAATGATAAAAGTAGGGTGGACATGTGGAGATTATCCGGCTGAACAAAACGTGCATTTATCAAACAGGTTTGTTTTCCACAGACCTTATTTCCAGCTATTTTCCATAAAACCCTGTGGAGAAATCCCATTGCTCTTTGTCGAGGGAACCAGCAGCGTACTTCCTGGTTTTAGGACGCGTCACTGCACCTCTCAATATGATGCCAATATAAACAAGGTCTTCTGTCGGCTCTGTACATCAATGCCGACCTATGCTGACGAAGTAAGTGAAGAGTAGACAATATAAAGGTATTGGCTTTAGGGAAATGTCCCAGCAGTTTAGGAGAATGAAGGTTCTAATCTCATCTATTAGCCATTACATTTCTAACTCCTGATGACAGGAAGGCAGAAAGTGCATTATACAAATAATAATAATACTCATAATAATAGCAGACATTTTTTAACAATGACCACAATATCATTATTTTATAAACAAAATATGAACAATTGAGGAAAATGAGGAAGAACT